GAGCTGAGATTGTGCCACTGCACTCCAGCCTGGCAAGAGAGCAAGACTCGTCACTAAATAAAAACAAAAAGAAAAAAGAAAAATTAACCTAAAACCAGTTCTTTAACAGAAACTGTCAGATTTAAAAAAAAAAAAAAAAAAAAAAAAGGATTAACGATTTTCCAAGGGGGTTGGAAAGATATATTTGGGAGAAGCACCTTCTATGAGAGGGGAACAGGCAAAGACTCCCCTAGTCGTAGGGCGTGCAGCCTCAAGGGATCCATGGCCACCAGATCCCCACCTTCTGCCACATCCCTGCAGGCCTTTGCATTCCTCAATGTCTCAAAGGTGATTTGTAAATACCAAGTTATACCCATACCCGTTTAGAGGCAATTATCTCTGTAATACCATTCATGTCAGGGGTCACTGTGATTCACATACACAATTTATACCAAGGCAAACAAACAGCGGTCAATGTTGGACAGAAGCTAAGGGGACTGCACTGAAATGAATGATTCACAAGTGCCACACTTGTGGGAAGGGAAAAAGGAAGGGAAGTGAACGCCGTTTTTAAATATAGACTGTTCTAATTTTTGGCAATTTTCAGAGCAGTGTGACACAGGGAGAGGAGCAATGCCTCTTGGGGACTTTCTATTATTATATTATAACATCATGCTTGTCAAAACACCTGATAAATACATAGGGCAAAACGGATCTCTAATGAAATATATGTGGCTTTATCTTACATGATACGATTGAGGGCATGTTCATTAAGCAAGACCAAAATTGAATATATCTGCTAAAACCTACTACAATAAAACTAGACTCAAAGTATCCTGGACAACTGAAACATCATCTGTCAAATTAAATAAAAGGCAAGTTAGTGTAATTTGAATTTGTCCTTGAGTGCATTGGGAAAGGCAGAATAAAAGCTAGGTAAATAAAAACGAGAAACAGATCTAGTAGTCATAGTGGTACATCAGCTCAAAGAGACAAGCCTAATTTGTTTGTTTAAGACAGAGTCCCACTCAGTCGCCTAAGATGGAGTGCGGTGGCACAATTTTGGCTCACTGCAACCTCTGCCTCCCGGGCTCAAGCCATTCTCCTGTCCCAGCCTCCTGAGTAGCTGGGATTACAGGTGACTGCCACCATGCCTGGCTAAGTATTCTATTTTTAGTAGAGATGGGGTTTCACCATGTTGGCCAGGCTGGTCTTGAACTCTTGATCTCATGTGACCCACCTCAGGCAATCAACCTGTCTCAGCCTCCCAAAGTGCTGGGATTACAGGCGTGAGCCACCACGGCAGCCTGAACAGTCACCTTCTGAAGACAGGTATTCCTGATGAGGTAGCTTAAAAGATAGCCCACTGTTTTACCCATCTTTCAGGGATGCAATTAACTGTGATCTATGGTGGTTGCATCATTATAGGGAGGCTTTCATTTTCTATAAAGACGACCTGGATTGAGATACAGGATCTAGAGATTTGCTGGGGAAGATTTAGCCTGATTACTGATTACCAATTATTGCTACAGAATGCCTAAAAGTTTACACATAAAAACTGTGCTGAATATGTTAATAAATGTTGAAATAAAAAAAAAAAAAAACCAACACTTGTCAGATGATTGCATACACATATGAACATCAAAAAGTGGTAAATAGGCCAGGTGCAGTGACTCACACCTGTAATCCCAACACTTTAGGAGGTAAAGGCTGATGGATGATCTGAGGTCAGGAGTTCCAGACCAGCCTGGCCAACATGGTGAAACCCCACCACAAAGCAAGATTCTGTCTCAAAAAATAACAAAAAACACCCCATCAAATACTGTGACTTTCTGAGGAAAGTTGGGAAGCAAGTAAGACAATTAATGTATTGTTTTGAGCGCTCAAATATAACTAAAGAATTTTGTACTTTAGGGTCTTAAATGTTACATCCTTCTAGGATTTTGGCACTTTAAAATGTCACTGCATCTAAACTTCTTAGGAGAAGTAAATCTTCTACCTCAGACTTGGAGTTAAACAGTGATGTTAATAATGGAGAGAGAGAACGAGGGAAAAAGATCATAATTTGGGGGGTTGAGGGCATGCTAAGAGGAAAGGGCAAGCTCCTTGCGTGACTGAATTAAATGTTCTAATTTCAATATATATTTCACGTATGATTCTTTTTTTAATATAGTCTACGGGCACTTCCTTTTTGCCAGACGGTTATAAATAACATGGTAGACTACTAAATAAACAGTTGTACATCTGATCCCTTCCCACAAAAAAGTGGATAAACTTGCAAGATAAACTCATAAAAGCATCAGAAATGGGACACTGGAAACAGGAGAGATGAAGAGTTACAGATTCTGTGCACTGAAAGGAGGCAGACAGTAATGATGAGTGCAGTGGAGGAGCCACTAGAAAGCCAGCAACTTTATGGCTCAGAGCTTGGGGAGGCACAGATGCCTCAAGAAGTGAGGTGCAACATAGGGCTGAAAAACAGCATTAGGCCAGAGTTTCTAAGAAGAGCTAAATCCTTAATTCAACCAGGTTTAACTGTCCTCCTCTACTGAAAACAGGTGGAAGACTGTCAAAGTCCACACACTGAATGATGAGCCCATATTCCCATCCCTACAACCCTACCATCCCCTTCTCCACTTGGCTTTAGGATGCTGGCAGCCAAGCTTGCACCTCTCAACAGGAAATCTCAAGGTTCTTCTCTGGAACAAAACAAAAATTTTTTGTTTTCCTCTGGGAAAACTCAACTCAGAGAAAAGACCCATATGCTGGCTGGTTGCCTTATTGTTCTAGAGGACCACAGGCCAACAAGCCTGGCCCATACTCTAACACAGAGCTTCAAACCATTTTTAAAAACATCTTTCTCTCTTAAAAATATAAATCAAAACATCTGAAGAAACTCTAACAAGAAAGAGAAAATAGGAAACAAAGATTTTTCAAAATTACAATAAAGGCTAAGTGTGGTGGCTCACGCCTCTAATTCCAGTACTTTTTAAGGTTGACATGGGAGGATTAAGCTTAAGCTTAGGAGATTGAGACCAACCTGCCTGGGCAACAAAGTGACATGCTGTCTCTACAAAAAGTAAAAAAAAGTCAGGCATACTGGCATGCAACTGTGGTCCGGCTACTTGGGAAGGTCCTGTGAGCCCAGTGGTTGGAAGCTGCAGTGAGCCATGATCACATCACTGCCCTCCAGCCTGGGTAAGAGTGTGAAACTGCCAGAAAACAAGAACAAAAAACACATTATAATGTATTCAAAAAGTGAGAGAAACTATTACAGCCATAAGATTATTCTCTTATTTTTATTTATTTTTGAGACAGAGCCTTGCTCTGTTGCCCAGTTGCAGTGCAGTGGCTCGATTTCAGCTCACTGCAACCTCTACCTCCCAGTTCAAGTGATTCTTCTACCTCAGGCTCCTGAGTAGCTGGGACTCCAGGTGTGTGCCACCACGCTCAGCTATTTTTCTATTTTTAGTAGACACGGGGTTTCACCATGTTTGGCCAGGATGGTCTCGATCTGTTGACCTCATGATCTGCCTGTCTCGGCCTCCAAAGTGCTGGGATTACAGCTGGCTCTGACAATTCTTTAAAAATCAGTACATTCAGAGAAAAAAAAAAAAAGCTCTTCAAAATATCCGGAAAAAAAATAAGTAAATAAAAGGTTAGAAGGCTGGGCAGTATGGCTTGTGGCTCATGCCTATAATCCTGGCACTTTGGAAGGCCAAAGTGGAAAGGCTACTTGAGTCTAGCAGTTTGAGATCAGTCGGGGCAACATTGTGAGACCTTGTCTCTACAAAAAATACAAAAAATTAGCTGGGCATGGTGGCACAAGCCTTTAGTCCCAGCTACTAGGGAGCCTCAGAGTTTGAGGCTGCAGTCAGCTGTGATTGTACCACTGCATTCCAGCCTGAGTGACAAAAAAAAAAAAACAACAAAAAACAAAAACAAAAACACCAAAAACACTAACAAACAAAAAAAGATCAGATGATAAAGGCGGAGAAAGCATAGATAAATTGTAACAAAAAAAATGACAGAACACAGAGAAAAAAAGATAAAAACAGAGGCTGAATCCAGGAGGTAAAATGCCTTATGTTAATAGGAATTATAAAAAGAGAGCAGAGAAAGTAGAGGGAAGAAAATTTTCAGAGAACTACCACTTAACAAATTTCCTGAATTGAAAATGTCAGCATACATAAGATCTCATAGAGTAGCCAACATAATAAATGAAGAGACCTAGTCAAGACGTATCATTTTGACATCTTAAGACCCTAGGGAAAAAGAGAAGATCCTCCCACTTTCCAGGAGAAAAACAGAACACGCATTGAGGGATGAAAAATCAGAATGGCTCCAGTCTTCTCAACTGCAGCACTGCAAGCTAGAGGACAAACCAGGAACAATGACTTCAAGACAGTGAGAAAAAAAATCACTTTTAATCTAGGATTCCACATCTAGCCAACTCTCAATTAAGAATGAGGCTAGAATAAAGTCATGCTCAGATATACAGGTTCTCAACATTTTTACACTCCAATGCACCCTTTCTCACAAAACTACTAAAGCATGATGCACGCCCTTAAATGAAGGCCCACTTTAAGAATGAGGAAGGCATGGGATTAGAAAACAGATCACTCAACAGAGGAGAGAAAGAAATGAAGATGATGATGAACAACTGCCCCAGAATAACAGTTACAGACCTAAAGAATAAATATCCCAATTGAAAGTATGGGTTAGCAATGATGTAGCCCCAAAAAATAAAAAGCAAATCAACACATGAGTTAGTAATCCTAAAGAAATGCAATGTTTCAGAAAGAAATCTAGTATGTGTCCTAATTATAGATTTCAAAAAATAAAAAATGATTTTAGAAGTCTACACAAATCTTCCAAATTACCTTTCATTTTGTGTCCATCATTTAGGGATAGGTGGTTTAATCTGGAGGAATAATCATGTAATACGTAACAAAAACATGGGAGAGAAGGAATCAAATGAAATAAAAATCCCAAGCTGGTAAGAGATTTCTTATACTCACCATCTCTCTGGCTATTTCCAGCGCTTCCTGCAGGCCATAGAGCCTGCCGCAAACCAGGTAGATTCCATTGGCCCAGAGAATACAACCCTCATGGACCCAAAATTCATTGCTGTCAAGAGGTAGTTCAGGGATTTGTAACTCCAGCTCAGGGCCACCTTCTGAAGTGGTGGGCACAGAGGGCTTTGAGTCCAAAACAGTCTTTTCACTGCTGCCCTCAGTGGCTGCTTTTTTACAAGGGAGCCCCCTGGACAGGGACCGAGGGCCTCCACCACAGTCTTCCGAGCGGTGGCGCCGCTTAAACCTGGGGTGTGCAGCCAGGCTCCTCTGCTCCTTCTGCTGCTGCTGCTGCTGCTCTTCCTCCTCCTCAGTGTCCGTCTTGGAGCCATTAGAAGCACTTTTGTGCCGTACCTTAACTTTGTTCTGCATTTCTGTGGCCCTCTTAGGAGGCGGATTCTTCGGGAGAGTGGCTGCATAATCTTGGGGATAAAAAGGTCCAAAGAGGTCACCCATGTTCCGGTAACTGGCCCACTTGCCACACAGACAGCAAACCAGGTGCCCCATAACCGAAGACTCTGTCACAACAGGTCCCTGCAGCATAAAGGACGAGGCCGGGAGTGCCTTGCTTTCAGTGCTGCTAGGTGGAGGGGTCAGTGACCTCTGACCCTTCCTACCCCTCACCAATTTGGTCTGTTCTTCTTCTTCAGCATTGATGATTGTACAAACGGCTCCAAGTTCACACTTATTTACTACATGGATATAAGGGTAAAAAGACTTGTTCTTGGCGTCAGTTTTATCCAGTGGCTGGGTGGCATACTTTAGTTTGATCTCAGGTTCTTGGGGTTCCACAATGGGAACCGCTTGTTTGGTTTTTCGCTTCCTTGGCTGGGCCCCAGGCTTCCTTCTCTCCCTCCTTTGCCTCTGTTTTTTTGGCTTTGGCTCTCCATCTGCAGAACCTTCTGGTATCTGTGGGGGCTGAGGGGGTGGAGGCGGTGGCTGCTGCTGTTTCTTTTGCTTATTCACACTACCAATGGGTCTCCCCTTCTTCTTTCCTGATGGGAAATACCCCTTTGGAGGGAAGCCCTCTTGCTTGGGTGAAATCGTCACTGTATCATTCTCTTTCTCTTCAGCCTTGGGGTTTGCCTCAGGGGCCAATATGCCCACTGGAGGTACATTCTTTGAGTCTGGAAAGATTAAAGGTGCTGTTCCACCCAGGGAACCATCTGGTCTCCCTTGGTTACTACCAGGCTTCTGTGAGGCTGTGGATGTCATGGCACCAGGGGGTTCCTTTCCAGCAGTAACTGACTCTGCATGTGTCTCTGTCTTCACTTTGTCATCCACACTGCCACGCCACTCTTCTGAAGACCTTGGAAGAGGTTTCTCAATGTGCAACTCCTGGTTTGCTGGACTGACTAGGTCAGAGGCCACCTCACCTTTTCTCTTCTCTACGTCAGCATCCTGAACAGCAACACTCCCACCTTCAGGAGGACCACTCTTCAAAGAGAGTATATCATCAAGAGTAACTGTGTCTCCCCCAGCCTCTGCACTGTTCGAGGAAGCGCTCCTCCTGATATTTGGAGAGGTAATCTTCTGAACTATAGCTTCCAATTTCAAGCCCCGTCCTTTCCTTGGGGGCAGTATTTTAGTCTTTGCAGGGCTTGTGAGAGTAACAGCAGGACAGTTTCTATTATCTGAACTTGGAAGGTCCTTGGAGGAGTCTCTCTTAGAGATAGACTTGATATCCTGACTGTGAGAAAGATGGGTAAAGGAATTGAATGCTTTATCAGCGCCTTCCTTTGATGGGTGAAGGAGGCGACTTTTATCTTCAGTGTTACTGTTCTTTACATCTTGTGACTGTCTCTTACTGGGAATGGGAGAGATAAAAGAACGGACACGCCTCCTCATAATTAGGGGGTTTTGAGAAGAATGGTCTTCCTGGCCTGGAAGTCTCAGCATAACATTACTAGGTTTGGATGACTGTGTAGCCTCAGCTAGTCCATGTCCATCAGTCTCATGGGGTGGCCCATACCTTTTTTGACTGGACATTCCTGGAGGACCACCACTTTTGGCTGGAGAAGTTTGCCGAGAAAGATCCCAACAGGATTCTTGTAATTTCTGTGAGCCATGCTTTAATTCCATGCCCTTGCTAGGCAGACCATCACTAGATAATAGGCAGCGCCCAGTCTCCTGAGCGCTGGGGTCATGGTAAGTCCCTACCGGTGGGCCATACATCATACCATCTTTGTCATTTTTCAGAGGGCTCCGTACTCTGTCAAGAAACTGCTGCTGTCTTGGACTCTTCCGTGGCCCCTCCTGCCTGTGCTGTGCTGCAGCAATGACTCCCTGAGCAGAACCGCTGCTCCAGTCTTTGTACTCCTCTGGTTGCTGTTGGTACATCTGTCTCTTATAATGCAGCTGAGAATTCAAACCTGTGTTTGGGTCCCCATAAGCATGAGCCCGAGTATTTGCGTGATAAGCAGAGGCCAGGCTTTCTGAGTTGGGAGAAAAGGGAGCATGTAAAGAACTTCGATTGGCCCTCTCTGAAAAGGTCATGTGTGGATTCATGTGATGAGGGTCTCCCCCTGGGCCTCTGCTCCTCCCAGGAGACATCTTCAATTTTTCTGCAAAGTCATGATATTGAGAAGGAGACCGACCCCTTATGCCCTCCCGACCACTAACTCTGCCAGGAACCCGCCGCATTGGCGTGGGTCTGCTGTCTTGCGAGCTGTAGTCTGAAAGGGCATCATGGGTTGCTGCTCCAGGGTTGGCACTGCCACGGTAAGACTCATGCTTAATGCTAGAAGGATGGCAGTGGTCTCCAGATTTCTTGTTGTTGAAACTAGCTTGGGATTTAGACTGTTCAAAGTCCTCCTCTTTTATCTGCCCGCTCTGGGATTTCAGCTTTGTTTCCATGGACACCAAACCACCTGGAAGAATGACCGACTGACTTAAACTTGGATTGAGACGGTCATTCCTCCCAATCCTGGTGTCGGCACTCATATGTCCCAGTGAGTGAGCCCCTGGGTCCCTGACAATCTGTCTTAGTGGAGAAATATCACAGATCACTGATCTTCTTTCAGAGAGGGAACCCCCAGGTTCATGGGCTGATGACTGAGGCTCTATTTCAAACTTTCTGGGAATTGGATAGTCAGTCAAATTGATCTGTTTCATTTCAGGAGCTGTGCTGCTTGATTTCCTTTCCCAGGGGCCCCAGTGGGGATTTTCTAATAGAGACCCAATGCTTTTGTTCAGAAGGCTCCTGCTAGCTAATTCATTGGTTTGACTAACCAAGACATTGGGCCTTGCGGATCCTTCTAGGCTACCAGCCACCCCCTGATGCTCCTGAGTACTCCTAGAATATCTCCTGTCAGGGTGGTGGTGGTAACCCTGAAGCACTTCCTGCAGGAGGCTTGGAAACTTTTCATTTCTACCCTTTCGTTCCCCATGGCCAGTGAAATCTCCCTTTTCTTGCCCTGTAGGATACTGAGGAAAGCCACTGACATTTCGTGGCACAGCTGACCCGAAACTATCTTTGTAACTATAGCGCAGACTTCCAGGAGATTTGCTAGGCTCAGTTCTGCTTGTAAAACCAGGGCCTGCTGCAGAGTGGCCACTCTGGCCATTTCCCTCTCCATTATGGTTGGAGTTGTTATCGCCATTCTTGTTTCCTTTGCTCCCTCCTCCTCCTGCAGGCTCTGGCTGGGGAAGAGATGCATGACTGGTTTCCTTTGCCCCACCATTGCTAGGTGGCCTCTGAGTGGTTGCAGAATCATCCTCTTGGGAGCCTTTATCTTGTCCACCAGGCTTTTCTACCCGACTTGTCATGGCTTCCCGGGAGACAATCACCCCAACTGTCTTCTCATTGACCTTTGGGTTCCCGTCAGATGACAATGGCATGTCCTTAGCACCTGGGGAGGTGGCCTCTTCTCTAGCTGCGGGACTAGCATTGAGTCTAGGGGTTTCATTCTGAGCACCTTGTGCCGGTGAGGAGCCAGCTTTCTCCGAGGCTCCACCTTTGTAGGTGGTGTCAGAGCTGGTGCTCTGGCCACTTAGTTGCCGCACTCTCTCGCCTGGATCCTCTGAACTGCTGGAGCAGCCTCCATCTAACGATTCTGCCATAGGGGACTTCAGCTGTTCTTCAGGTTGTGAGGAGCCTTCAGAGTTTGTGCAGCTATCTGCTTTCTTGGAAGATGAGGGCCTCTTGGAGGTCTTCTTTTGAGGAGTCAGGGCATCAGAAAGTAACATGTGCTGTACAGTGTTAGGAAGATTGGCCACTTGAGTACTCAGAGCACTCAAACTACTCAACCCAGGATCTGTCAGTCGCTTTTCTGGTACCCCTTCTAGTCCAAACCCTTTGAAGCCTGCGGCATGAGAATTAGGACTGGGCATCATTGATGGGGTTGGACTGAGTTGAGGCATTAACTGTAAAATTCTGTTTCTGGAACCCATAGGCACACTGCCTTGCCCACACTGGAGATTCTCCCCAGTCTGCATGAGAGGAGATGGGGTAGAACTACAGCTTGGAGACTGAACCACAGAGGCAGCTGGGGAAGGGTTAGAAATGGGGCTGAAGTTCTGGTGAAACTGCATGGGGGACCTCACAGGAACCTCAGGCTGGTTGTACTGCCCCACCTGGCTTTGCAGGGGCAGCTTGGTGGCAGCATTGGTATACTGCATCACATGCTGAGGAGGGTGTTGTTGCTGCTGTGGTTGCTGCTGCTGCTGCCCCTGTTGGGTCCCTTGTGGAATCTTTGCCTGTTCAAAATTTTTCATAGATTGAGGCTGATAGCTATAATTGGATTGTGTTCCATAAGCCTGTGCATTAGAACCCACATTGTGTCCTTCATACTGAGATCCAGCATTCACACTGTAACTGCCATCATAGCTCTGTCCAGACTGGCTAAAACGCTGTGGTGAAGGGAAGGAGGAGGAGGAAGAGGAGGAAGCAGAAGACTGGTAGTGTTGGCCAAACTGACCCACTCTCAACTGGTAACCAGCAGCAGAAGATGGCAGAGTTGAGGGCCGCTGCATTGGCTGTAGATGGGATGAGCTGGATGCTGGCTGGCCAGCGGCCTGCGGCAGGGGCTGATGGGACTGGTAAAGCTGTTGTCTCAACTGCTGGACTTGCTGCTGCTGCTGTTGCTGCTGGCTGGAAGCCTGCTGTTGGTACTGAGCACTCCCTGGAGAGAAAGGCCCCGTGTAATCCTGCTGATAATGTGACACACCGCCAAGGCCAGAGTGCTGTGCTTGAAACTGGCCCACATGACCCTCACTCCCATACTGATTGCCAAAGCTACTCCCCTGAGGGGGTCCATAGCTCTGCACAGGCCCAGAAGGCCTTCGCTGAGGAGGCTGTGGGGTTCCTGTAGCCACGGGGTCTTTGTTGCCTGTCATGTAGTAAAAATCTCCAGCCTCTTTTCTGAAACCCTGGTAACCTTGATGGCCAGAGGTCTCACTAGCCATCGCTGCTGCAGCAGCTGCTGCTCCTCGTCGTCCACCACCACTGCTACTGCCACTGCCACCACTACTGCCACCTGCACCTCCAAAATTCTGGAACATCTGGGCCTGACGAGGGCTGAACTCCTCTATCCGAGATGAGCTGTGTACCTCCTGTGGGTAGCTTTGCTGGTTTCCGTGGTAACTGCTTTGCTCTCTAAAGGACTGCATACTGTTCAGCAGCACAGCAGCAGGCCAACAGCCCTCCTAGAAACAGAAGAAAAGAAATAAAAACATTAGACATGTATCTTCTTGGTACAAATAAAATCAAGTCTAGATGATGGAGGGTATAAGATGATTCAGATGCCCAAATGAAGCTGACTGAATTTCTTTTCTTTTTTTGAGACAGAGTTTTGCTCTGTTGCCCAGGCTGGAGCGCAGTAGTGCAATCTCGGCTCACTGCAACCTCCGCCTTCCAGGTTCAAGCAATTCTCTTGCCTCAGCCTCCGGAGGAGCTGGAACTACAGGCGTGTGTCACCATGGCTGGCTAATTTTTTTGTATTTTTAGTAGGAACAGGGTTTCACCATGCCAGCCAGGCTGGTCTTGAACTCCTGACCTCGTGTTCTGCCCGCCTTGGCCTAAGTGCTGAATTTACAGGTGTGAGCCACCACACCCAGCCCTGAATTTCATCTTTTATGTTTTATCCTATCCACTTCTGAAAATGCACATATGCAGAAAAATGGCCTGAACAGTGAGGCAGGAATCTGTAGCAGAATGAAAAGAAATGCTCTGAGTGCATACAAATCCAATATAGCAAAACCACCTATGTCTCATATATCTAGTAATTGCCTTCATTATTAGACAAATGAGCCCCCAAATTCAACTGGATTAAAATATAGGGTTGTGTTATTACTGTCAATGAAAAACAGCAATTTTTCAATGAGTCTTTCAGTTACGGCAGGATGAGTAAGAAAAAACACATTTTTTTTTATTTTATTTTATTTTTTTTTTTTTTGAGACAAGATCTCACTCTGTTGCCCAGGCTGGAGTATGCAAGGGCACAGTCATAGATAGCTCAGTGCAGTCTCAAACACCTGGCCTCTAGCGAGCCTCCTGCCTCGACCTCCCAAAGTTTTGGGATTGCAGACATAAGCCATTACTTTCATTTCTCTGCTTTCATGTATTAGAGTGATCACTGAACTGCGGGTTGTAACACTGGCTGCTGATCGCCACTCTCCAACACGAAACAGAATAGGCCAGAGAACTTCAGCTGATTCCTTATGTACAAATGCACATTACTGCAGGTTTACTAAAACTGCCAACTACCTGTGATGACTGCTGACTCCAGGACACTCAGCCCGTATGGGTTCCATACATACGGTGGAAGAGGTTTGGAGTCAACCTCTTCTTGGCATATGATTGTTTTGAAGGCACCCCTCTCTCAACCAGTCTCCCTCAATTTCCAGGTACAAAGGGCTAGACTCAAGCCAGTGAATAGCAGTGACTATCCTTCCAGATTATTCTGGGGAGTTTCCAATAAGTTCCAGCACCTTTACTCGCCAAGTGGTATTTTTATTTGCCACATTTTTTAGATTCAGTTATTACTGGTCTTTACTATGAAAGAAGAATTTGAAGCAATCATCTTGTAGGACAGCAAAAAAACAGAGAGTAAAATAGGAATTCTTCAAGCCTAGGGATCCAGACTCTTTCCAAAGTTATCTGACTCAGCCACTTAATCTCTCTTAATCGAGCCGATTTTTTTTTTTTTCTTCCTTTCGCCTGGGCCTGTATCCTCGGTCAGAAATGAACAGACAAGGCCAAATTGCTCCAAACTTTAGAACCAATTATTTAAAAAAACAAGTTCCAAAAACACAAACGGGCTAAAGTAAGGTACTAATAGACAGTTTAGTTACAATTGTTTATGAAGCTAGTTTTCTAGTTCCCCTGGGGGAGCTGAAAATGGAGTTGCCTGCAGCAAAGTCAACGATCCTCTTAAATGCAAGTCAGATTCATCCTCTCCAATCCCTCCAGTGGCTCCTACCTCATTCCTTGGGAAAATTGTCTGGAAGGCCCTGCTCCCACCCCACAACCTCTCTGACCTCCTCCCCTACCACTCTCTGCTTTAGCCCCATAGTCTCCCTGTTCCTGGAACAGGCCCACCACATATCTACATAGGACCTCTGTTCTCGCCTGCACGTTCTTCTCCCATTGCAAAACAGCTTGCTCTCCCTCCAGTCTTTGGGCAAATGTCACTCATTCCCTGGTCATTCTATTAAAAACAGCTAGCTCTACACCTTTTCCCTGCCTCTAACTCCCTCCCCTGTTTCATCATCCCCTGCCTAGCCCTGTACTGATTCCAAACAGACACATACATGCTACTTGTTTACTGTCTGTCTCTCTCCAGACTAAAATGTAAACTCCTTAAAGGGCAGAGACTGCCTATTCCTTGCTGTAATCCTCACGTCACCACAGGGCAGGCTGTGTGAATGAGTAAATGGTGTAAGAACTAGGCCTTAAGAAAACTGGGCTAGAACTCACATATTCAGAGATGGTGCTGTGGGAGTGACATGAGAGAATTGCAGAAATTGAAAATAGAGTATGATCAACCTAAAAGCAGAGCTGGAGGATGCTGAAGACCTCACCTGTAAAATCCTATGTGTCCAGTTCTAAGGGAGAGACCTAGCTTGAGTCCACATGAGAACTGTGAGAAAAGACTTCAGAAAGTAAATACGGATTAGAGCGGAAGATGGCCAGTAACTCCAAATTCAAAAAGCCTGACCCACATCTTGAAATATCTTAGGTCTAAAACAGCTAAAACAGCTAGACAAGGGTCTACTTCCATAAGTTTGAAATACAGTCATATGACCCAAAACCATCATTAAGCATTCATGTACAAATAATGTCACAATCTAAGGGAAATCACTTCTCATCCTATTCAAAATGCCTCTGCAACAGACAGCTGTTGCTTTGTGCCAATGAATCTGCTGGGCAGTAGGTAATAGCTGTTCAAATGGTGATGATGACATTTGACACTGTTCCAGCATTTCGCACAAACTAACTCATTTAATCCTCACAACACTAACACGATCGTTTCACAGATGAGGAAACAGAAGCAGAGTTCACAAAGCTCCTAAGCAGCAAGGCTGAGCACAGGCCATGTTCTTAACATTACAATGCCCAGAGGGTCTTCCATACGGTCAGTAAAAGATGCCAGTTGTCCTGTCAGGTTGGCCTTGAAAGTGGGTAGCCAATCACAATAAATCTGTCCCTTCACCACTGCCCTCTCATAAGGACCTCCATACTGTTCCAACTGACTTCTCACCTCCCCCATCATTCTTAAGACTATCAAGAGCAATTTTGTCTACATAAGTATTAATATTTTTTTCTGTCTGTGATGTGCTCCTGCTCTACTCCTCAGTGCCAGTGGCCTTCTCTAAATGATAAAACAAGGCTGAATGGGGGCTAAATTGAACAAAAACATTAAAGCTGGCAGTTTAAACTAATGAAAAGCTTTCTCAAGAGATACTATCTATAAAAAAACTATGTTACATGTTGTTTAATTAATCCTTCTGGAAATAAAACCAGGCTTCTGAAGATCTGAGTGTATAAACAATGTTGCCACTTGCTCCATATTCCTCCTAAATAGGAGCCACCAAGAGCTAAAGGCCACTTTATACATCAGCACATCAGGCCTCAGGCTGCCCTATCTCCAGACAGGAAAAACAGATACAGGAAGGATTCCATCTCAGTTCTGTTCTCAGCCCTCCCTGGCAGATTTCCTGTTCTGTATTATGCCCCTTTCCCTATTGTTATGGTTCTATTTTACGGAATTTAAAAAATCCATAGCCAAATACCTCCTGCAGGGTTCCATTCATGCTAAATATTCTTAGTATACATGAAGCATCTGAGTACCAGAAGGTGGTTTGTCCAGGTTTATCTTTTTTAGGAATTCCAAGTAAACCAATTAAGAAAACCAAGTAGTATGTATCAACAACAGAAAATATAAACCTGGAGCTATAAAAGTAATAGGCTGTGTAAGGTGGCTCACACCTGTAATCACCAGTGTTTAGGTAGGCTGAGATGAGAGGATTGTTGAGGTCAGAAGTTCAAGACCAGCCTGAGTAACATGGTGAGACCCCATCTCTACCAAAAAAAAACAAAAAACAAAAAACAATTTTTTTTAACGCACAGTGTGATGAGGTGTGACTACAGTCCCAGCTGCTCAGGAGGCTGAGATGGGAGGATTGCTTGAACTCAGGAGTTCGAGGTTGCAATGAGCTATAAATGTGCCAATGTGTTCCACCCTGGGCAACAGAGACCCTGTCTCTAAAACAAAAACAAAAACCACTAATAGAGATAATTCCAATGTTATCCCATCATCTTAAAAAAAAGAAAAGCATCAGTGTAGTCAGTTTTAAAGCACTGTGATTAGTGATAGTAAGCGCCTGAATTCCTTTGTTTAAATGAAAAATGAATACAAACAGTAGTAAGGAAAATCTGATACCCCCAAGGAGTAAGTCACCCAAGGAACGTGCATACATACTCTAAAAAAGAGGTTGGGCACAGTGGCTCACACCTGTAAATCCAGCACTTTGGGAGGTTAAGGCAAGGGGATCGCTTGGGCTTGGGAGTTTGAGATCAGCCTGGGCAACATGGAGAAACCCTATCTCTATAAGAAATAAAACAACTAGCCAGGTGTAGTGACGCATGCCTGCAGTCCCAGCAACTTAGGGGGCTAAAACGGGAGGATCACCTGAGCCCGGAAGGCAAAGGTTTCAGTGAGCTGAAATCCTGCCACTGCTCTCCAGCCTGGTCAGCAAAGGGATATTCTGTCCAAGAAATAAATAAAAAAGATCTACCAATGTACTTCCTGTTCATATTGACTCTCCCTCTCCCTTTCCTGTTTTTCCTCATATATTCCTAACTTTAACAGTTTCAGAAGGGCTGTGGAGGTATATTAGCAAGGTCCAGAACTCTGTGCCTATACATTCCAAAGTCCGTATGCTGTCCTCACAAACTCACTCATAAGCAGCTGCAGACTTTTTTTTTTTTTTTTGGTGAGACGGAGTTTCGCTCGTTACCCAGGCTGGAGTGCAATGGTGCGATCTCGGCTCACCGCAACCTCCGCCTCCTGGGTTCAGGCAATTCTCCTACGTCAGCCTCCTGAGTAGCTGGGATTACAGGCACACGCCACCATGCCCAGCTAATTTTTAGTATTTTTAGTAGAGACGGGGTTTCACCATGTTGACCAGGATGGTCTCGATCT